CAGCGCATTATGTTAGCTGTCAGTCACATCGGCCTACTACCAAAAAACTCCAATGAAGAATGCACCCCACAGATAACCATATCAGATGTGTTATTTACAGGCGAAGAAAGAATAAATGTAGTGATATGCAGTGCTGAAGACGCTAAAACGAAAAAAAGTTTTGTGTCGGCATCTAACTCAGCAAAATTAGAGTTTAGTGGTCCGTCTGACTTAGACGGAATTTTGCTTATACAGTTTTGGTTTGTGGAGGACGTTACGCTTATTGCAAGGACTCTAGAACCTCCTAAAAAACGTAAGTACTTAGATTAAGAAAACAAAATATATAACCCTATCTTATCAAATTATTTTGGATGATTTATTATTAATGCGTTATATTTCTTTAATAATTATAAAATTTAATTATTCCATTTTATTATGATCGACGTTTCTTAATTAAATATAACACATAAAACAGTTCATAATGGGATTTAGGAATAGGCCTATAATAATGTAATTTTCGCTATTGTATTTTGATCTAGAAGTGCTTTCGGAGGAGCCAATCATAACGTTGAAATGTCCTGAGTGGGGAGCTAATTTGGAAATAGACAGGTAAGCATAGATCGATCGAAGTATTGAGCTGGGCTGATTAAGTCCTAGATCTTTTCTAAGAATACATATCTGAAACGATTTAAAATACGGAGAAAATGGACTTATTCGACTGGTTCATGCCGTTGACTACGAATTTTCGTTGAGTATTATTTTCATTCGACTGGTTCGTCTTCGTTAAGAAGGATTTTTACTGCGCAGTTGGGGTGGTTTAACGAAGAACGACCAGTTGAATACGGCCAATAATTATGTAGTTAAATTAAAGTAGAAGACATAGGACACTTTATTTTATTTTTACTGCTTTTCGTACGGTTGTTGTGTACAAAGTGTCAATATTGATTAATTAACTGATTTTGTTTCCTTGTCAGTTGTTCCTGCGTTGAATATGATACAGGAAAAACAACAAATCTTGAACCTCCATTCTGCTGTAAGTTAAACTTTCCTGACGCATGTTTTTAATCTTATTAAGCATTATATTAGACGTCAATACAGATTCACTTGCATACCGTAAATGCTCGAATAAGCACCACACCAAACCTGATTTTTCCACTAAGCGCCGCGGCGCTTAATCGAGAGTAAATTATTACCCTGTGTGTAATGTAATACTTTGAGAAAAACAGGGTTTTATATACAATGTAGTATACAGTGTTCATGAATAAATAACACATTGAAGACACAAGCGGCCTTATAAACGCTTACGTACGGTGACGTAGGACCTATGATAGGCCTACTGAACTACAGGATAAGATGTGTATAAGAGAATATATATATTCATAAAACAGTATCTGTGGATCGGAAAGTAACTCAGGATGTTCCATGAGCATCAGTGTGGAAAAACAAGAAAATGGTGTCATTTATGAGTACCTTAGAGGAGATGCAGTGACCTGTGAGTACTACTTCCGGGCCAACGAACGTCAGCGCATTATGTTAGCTGTCAGTCACATCGGCCTACTACCAAAAAACTCCAATGAAGAATGCACCCCACAGATAACCATATCAGATGTGTTATTTACAGGCGAAGAAAGAATAAATGTAGTGATATGCAGTGCTGAAGACGCTAAAACGAAAAAAAGTTTTGTGTCGGCATCTAACTCAGCAAAATTAGAGTTTAGTGGTCCGTCTGACTTAGACGGAATTTTGCTTATACAGTTTTGGTTTGTGGAGGACGTTACGCTTATTGCAAGGACTCTAGAACCTCCTAAAAAACGTAAGTACTTAGATTAAGAAAACAAAATATATAACCCTATCTTATCAAATTATTTTGGATGATTTATTATTAATGCGTTATATTTCTTTAATAATTATAAAATTTAATTATTCCATTTTATTATGATCGACGTTTCTTAATTAAATATAACACATAAAACAGTTCATAATGGGATTTAGGAATAGGCCTATAATAATGTAATTTTCGCTATTGTATTTTGATCTAGAAGTGCTTTCGGAGGAGCCAATCATAACGTTGAAATGTCCTGAGTGGGGAGCTAATTTGGAAATAGACAGGTAAGCATAGATCGATCGAAGTATTGAGCTGGGCTGATTAAGTCCTAGATCTTTTCTAAGAATACATATCTGAAACGATTTAAAATACGGAGAAAATGGACTTATTCGACTGGTTCATGCCGTTGACTACGAATTTTCGTTGAGTATTATTTTCATTCGACTGGTTCGTCTTCGTTAAGAAGGATTTTTACTGCGCAGTTGGGGTGGTTTAACGAAGAACGACCAGTTGAATACGGCCAATAATTATGTAGTTAAATTAAAGTAGAAGACATAGGACACTTTATTTTATTTTTACTGCTTTTCGTACGGTTGTTGTGTACAAAGTGTCAATATTGATTAATTAACTGATTTTGTTTCCTTGTCAGTTGTTCCTGCGTTGAATATGATACAGGAAAAACAACAAATCTTGAACCTCCATTCTGCTGTAAGTTAAACTTTCGTGACGCATGTTTTTAATCTTATTAAGCATTATATTAGACGTCAATACAGATTCACTTGCATACCGTAAATGCTCGAATAAGCACCACACCAAACCTGATTTTTCCACTAAGCGCCGCGGCGCTTAATCGAGAGTAAATTATTACCCTGTGTGTAATGTAATACTTTGAGAAAAACAGGGTTTTATATACAATGTAGTATACAGTGTTCATGAATAAATAACACATTGAAGACACAAGCGGCCTTATAAACGCTTACGTACGGTGACGTAGGACCTATGATAGGCCTACTGAACTACAGGATACGTGAGATAGGTAAAATGGGAACAGGCATGGAAAGCGCCACGCCAATATTTTTTATAAGCGCCGCTCTCGAAAAAGCCTCTAAAAATTGTATAGCGCCGCGGTCCTTATTTGAGCATTTACGGTACGGGCTAATGTTATCCCTCAAATTTAACAATGTTCATAGATAAAATGTCATTGAGTTTTCTGAATAATCCATAAAGCCAAGTTTTCAAAAGAAGGATTATTTCTAAACATTTGAAAAAGCCTCACTACATTGTAAATATGCCTTAATATAATTAGCTGGATAAGGGGGAAAATTCAAAACATCTCAAATTTAGAAAGATAATATTTTAAAGGCAAATTCCATATATATATATAT